ACCAGCCCTGCTTCCCGGCAGCCGGTTTCCTCCCCCCTCTGCTTTCCCTGGCCACCCCGCTCCCCTCCCAGCTGGTGTCCCCCCACATGAGGGACACATCAATGTCTGATTATTTTTTTAAGCCACCTGGTAACCCTAATCCTTAGGGTTACTCGAGAAGTCTGAGGAGGTACATCAACACAACTGACATTTGGAGAAAACTGAATTTTTGTTTTAAGTTTTACAGCATTTTATTATTTTTGTACTTTTTACCCCCAAAAATTTCATCGCCCAGCTACAATTAAGTTGTTTAAACAAATGTGTTGCAATGGTAGAAAAAAAATTGTGACTGAAAACCGTAGATACTGGGGATATTTACGATTTTTTTTAAAGGAATACTTTATAAAAAAAAGGTTGAGAAACACTGGTTTAAAGTATATATTTTTGATGGTTCAAAAATATACTTTTTCTTTTTCTATCCTCAGATCTTTCTAAGAATAGATTAACTGAAGTTCCTATGGAGCTGTGCCATTTTGTGTCACTGGAAACGCTAAATCTGTACCACAATTGTATTAAAATTATTCCAGATGCCATAGTTAATTTACAGATGCTGACTTATTTAAATTTGAGGTAAGTTAATTTTACCACTTTTTCTATATGTTGTCAGCTATGATGACTCTTTTTCTCTCTACATTTTGCATCCCTTTGGAAACATCACTGGCTATGTTGCTCATTTTATTGACTTGTGTAAGGCAGAAGCCAGTTTCCAGTAGAATTTTCTGTCCTCTGTTAATTTTGTATGTGAATACATCATATTCTAAAATAAGCTCTTACAGAAGAAATGAAGAAGCATCGATTCTTCAACCCTCCCATATTGCATGAAACGGCTGCCTCCCTTCTGAGGTGCAGAGTCCACTTACATAATTATACAGCCTCTTGCATGTGATTGCCGCAGGAAGTCAGTATGTACATAAATGTGCTGGAATTGTAGGCAGACCAGTTAGCATGCTAGGCCTTCCTCCCGCTCATTCATTTCCTCCATGTCCACATGTTCTCCAACAATATTGTGTCAGAGGTATACATCAACAAACTGGCAGTGGGGGGTCTCCTTCTCTCTGCCATGAATAGGTCCTGTTTTGGAACTAGTGCATCAAGAACCATGTGATGCTGCAAGCCACGCATCCACCGGGCACCCAGAATTTCCTAGCCAATATGGTCAACAGGACACTCTATCTCAATCACAAGTGGAGGCTTACATGATGCCATGCTCCAGTTGTTCATTGTAAAGTGGGGCACTCCCCAATGGGATCTCTTTGCCACTCACGAGAACTGAAAGCTGTCCTGATATTCTTCCACTGGAGCAACAGGGGACAGCTCTCAGGGCGCTACTCCCTTCCTCCCCCATGCCTTTTCCTATGCAAGTGCCACACAAGGTTTGATGGGATAGAGCCATTGCCATACTTATAGCCCCACACTGGCCCTATCAGTTCTGGATTGCAGACTACCTCACTCTCCACCTGCACACCCTTCTACCTTCTCATACTCCCCGATTTACTCACACAAGATTGCGGGAAAATCTGTCATAACAGTCTAGACTCTTTTCACACATTCACGGCACACTGTGTCGTCATGCAAGTGCAGCTATAAATGCTGCTGTAGACAAAGCTGTGCTGCAAACTGCACTTCCACTGACATCCTTGAAACTACCTCCATGCTGATTACTTCTTGTGAGTCACCAGTATGTGGAATACACCCGGGGACAATTGCTTGGAGAAGAATAGGAGATTTACCAGTAACTGGAGGTTCTTTGAAAGGTATAGTCCTTACCTGTATTCTACAGCCCATCTGCTTTGGACTGGATTCCATAATAGTAAGAGGGAAGCTGGAGAGTTGTCGACCCACACTATTATACCCTGAGCTGTGAGCACTATGCACATGTGGGTCAATGGACACAGCTAAGAAATACTTTGGGATTCAGGTGCATGGTGTGCAAATGCACACGTGTGGAATACACAGAGGGACTGTGCATCTCAAAGAACCTCCAGTTACAGGTAAGTAATCTCCTGTTTCCTACCTGGTATTGTCTGTGCAAATCATGATAGCCAATTAAAGCAACACAATCCATTGCCAACTTTGCATTAATTTTATTATGACAGTAATAAACTTTACATGGCCTCACAAAAATACGTGTGGCAAATGCATTCTTTTATTTTTAATTTAAGCTAACATTAAATGTCTGTCTCCATCTGAAAAGAACTACATTAAATAGTATGAAAACATTTATTCACCTTTTTCAGAAAAGTTCAGTGGGTTCATGTCTAAAACGTATTACATTTTGGAAATAGTATCTATAATACTTGTGTAATTATCCTGCATTTATGCAAATGCTTTGTGGATATACCAAAATATTTAACTTTTGAGAAAACTTAATCAGAATAATGGATACCAAATTTATTCTAATTCTCCAGTATTAAAAATAAAAAGCATGCTGAGGTAATGCTAAATAAATATTGTATTATTAATACTTAGCACTATATGAATTCAGAAAGAGTTAGAGATATAAAACCTCATAATGCTCCTGAGTGGTAAAACAAGGCCAAATAAGGTACTACAGTAAAGCATGTAGGTATAATTGTTTTAAAGTTAATCAGACTGTTTGATAAGATTATTGCAAGGCTTGAGAAAAGCCTCTTGTCCTGTAGGAATAAAGATTTTGCCCTGGTTAAGTCATTGGGACCTTTTCTAGAAGACATGTATAAAGAAAGGAGCAACAGGGTATTGGAGAAAAGAAATAGAGGGTTTTGAAGTTACTTTTTGTAGACTGTTAGCAGTGAAACAGATTGGCACAGGTTCTCCTTCTTTTCTGTAAAGGAAGTGGAGGGGGGTTGGAGGCAGAAGAGAAGTTGGAGACTTTTCCTTTTCCTATGGAGGTGAGAGTAAACAAAGTGACCCACACAGCAAAAAAGTATTAATTAAAGTGAGGGTAGAGGGTATGTTATAATTTATCTTTATGTGGAGACAAGTTGAAGGCAGATTTGTTGTTGAGGAGATGAAGATATAGCACTCTCTTTCTCTGTATAACCAGGTGTGACTTTGCAGGTGTGTGAGGCCTTCCAAGGTTTGGTGGTGTGTGAGCATTTTTCATCAAGGTTGTTAGTTTTAGGCTTCGGGCTTGCAGGTATTAAGGACACTTTTCAAATCCTGGTCATATTCTTACCGAGCGGTAGTTTAGAAGCGATCAGGGCTATGAGTTTGGACAGTTACCTAGAACACGAGTAAAGTGTTTTTAATCACTCTAGCTCCTGATAGAAACAATCACTTGTAGTTTGTAATGGTGCTACAATTGGATATATACAAAACTATTATAATTGTTTATTTGTACTGCTATAGCAGCTGGAATCCCAAGTCATGGACTACTCATTGTGGTAGTCAGTATGCATTACAAACACAGAACAAAAAGGCCATGCTTGCTTCCAATGACCTACCATTTAAGTATAAGACAAGGGACAAGTATAAGATGTAGACATTTGCTTCCAATGGCCTACCATTTAAATATAAGACAAGGGACAAGTATAAGATGTAGACAGATGGGGGAAGTACCAGAAACAATGAGATAGAATTGGTTAGATTAACAAGTAGCAGTTTCAAGCAATATATAATAAACTTGTAATTGAATCTGGTAATTATGGTGACTTCACATACTATTGATAGTGCAATTTGTGTGATTTGCACGTGTTGCCATAAACCCAGGATAGCAGTTACAGAACCAAACCATAGTGTTAGAATTGTTATTTAATAACAATAACACTGAATAACATACTATAAACAATAATAAAATGTGTCATTGTTCTTATTAGGCAATGTAAAATTGTCCCTTGTTTAATTGACTTTTGAAGCCATTTCCGCTTTGGATAGACTCAGTAAAAATCTGTAGGAGAGAGGGGAAAAAAAGCTACATTTGATTGTCATTTAATGGTCTGTTGCCCACCAATTTGTTCTGCCCCTCTCAGTGTCCAAATCAATCCTATTTCCTCAGTTTCCACTTCTGCCTGTCATACCAGTTCTGTCAGTTTTGTCCCCCTCCCCTATCTCCACTTCTGCTACTGTAGGTCTCTGCCATAGATCTTAGGGTGTTCTTCAATCCTGTTTCAGGCAAGGGGTGCTGTAGTAGAGCCTCTGGCCTCCTCTCTTCTAGTGTTGCAGACAGAGAAAAAGAGGAGAAGGGTGAAGAGATGTTTCTGTTCTGAATGGAAGATAAGTGAATGGGCACTCTGCTCCCTCCTCAGCTGTGGATGAGAGAGACTCTTCTGCTTCCTTCAGAGCTGAACTTTGCAAGGGATCTGGAGAGTTTTATGTTATCATAAGAGGAGCTCGAGCTTCCTCTGAAATTCTGTCATTTGGAAAACAATCATGAGAATTGTCAGTACTGGCTTGCACAGATTTCATGGGAAAGCAACCCAGAATTGAAACTTTAAAAGGAATGATGTAAAATATATATTTTTATTCTGGATTTAGAAGATACTCCTGAAAATGTTATCTTTCAGGTTGGAAATTCAGGAGTAGCTGACTCAATCACAGACCAGGGTGCTATTCTAAAAACACAGGGTATCAGCTGCTTGTTCTAGGTTGAGGCCTGGTGGCTGGCTCAGAGGTTGAATTTAGGTATAGGGACGGGACTGGGCCAAGAGAAGCGCTGAAATGGGTGTACAGGAACAGGCTGTGGCTCAGACAGGACTAAGGTCATGGGCAAGACAAACCACTATTGTAGCCAGAATCCAGATTTAGGCCATAGGTCAAAGCCAGCTAGGAATGAGTCCAATTTTCAGTTGCAGGGCTGGAACGGCTCATTAACTGTGCTAGAGCAAGGTCAGAATAGGAACAAGGTTCCAATAGCTAACTTGCAGTTCTTGGTTGGTGAAATGCTGGAGCCTGGGGATTAGCTGACCCAGGTGCTGCTCAGGAATAGGCTGCTTCCACATGCCCAAGAAGTAAGTGACTGTAGTCTCTGTTGGAGGTATACATCAGCGCAGCTGAGTTGCTGCCATATGCCTGAATGACGACTCGTGTCTCTCTTGAAGGAGTTAGTCCTGGTAGCTTTGATCTGGCTGTGGGTTTGCCTCATGTAAGATATTGCAGATATTCATATATCATTTAAATAATGTGGTTTATATTATTTTGGGAACCACTAAAGCTAGAAAAATTACTATAAATCATTGGACGACTGGTATTTTAAATTTTTCAGTAGAATAGAGCCCTTGTTGTTTTGCGGAGTATCATGCTTTGAATTGCCACTTGATTCTGAAATGTGGTCTGCTTGTATTTTTGCCCAACAGCTTGAGCCAAATTGCTCTTGCAACTCATTGATTTCAGGTAGTTAATCCTGGGAGATGTACCAGACACTTTCCTGCACATCCCAGGAAGGCCCATAAACAGGATGTATATGACATTCTTTCTTGTCTACAAGGTCCATAGATGCATTAACCAGTAGTTTCTCATTCTACATAGACTCATAGACTTTAAGGTCAGAAGGGACCATTATGATCATCTAGTCTGACCCCCTGCACAGTGCAGGCCACAGAATCTCACCCACCCCTCTTAGAATAATCCTTTCACCTAGATCTTCGATATTG